TACCTTAAGAGCTTAAACTGTGTATACTCCAGCAGACGTACGAGTATAAACTGTGTCAGACGTCGAACAATACGTCACAATAAAGCCTGGACGCCGGATAACGCGTCGCAACGAAGTTTTAAACGCCGGACAACGCGTTGTAAACAAAAAAAATTCAACGCAGTCAATCGATGATCAGTTCTATGTTGAAGCAACTAACTCGAGCTAAAAGTCAAGAAATCAAGAATCGGTTTCAAGTTCAAAATTCTAACAAACGGTCAGACAATAAATGCAGCACCGGAATCCTCACAGGCGTTCTACAAAGCACTGAATGAACTGAAGGAATTGAAGGAATCCAGAACAGAAGCCATTCCAAAGTCCCGCTACGCCGACTGAAGGTTGGGACAATCACATCCAAAGTATTCCAGACTCTTCTATAAAAGAACGAGGCTGAAATACTTTGGAGGGGGTATCTGTAGGCGTATAAAATTGCCTATAGGTCCCACAATACAGCTCGATGACGTTAATTTCGACAAACGGACCATCGGGCGACGTATCCAAGCACTACCGTTATCCCGCTAACGCCGAAGCCAAACCATACGCAACGGAGCAGATTAACGAGGCGACGAAGCCAACAAATCGCACCCAAGCATTGGAACGCATCCACTCGCACGCGGAATCGAACCAACGTTTCGGGGAATCACCGAGTCATCTAAACAAGAACGAACTCGGTGATATGACGATCGAATCAAGATCGGTTTCGGACTCGAACTCAGAAGTGGACTTACTGCCTAATCAGGAACCGGATCAACAAATCGAATCCGAACAAGTCAACCACGCAACCGAATCAAAGTCCAAATCAACAACAAATCGGAACCCGAACGACGGAACCCGAACGACGGAAACCGGAAAACCCGCCTAAGGGGGCTCGGCCAAAGCCGAGCCACCTGTAGGTGGCTCGGCCAAGGCCGAGCCACCTGTAGGTGGCTCGGCCAGGGCCGAGCCACCCACAGGTGGCTCTGGCCAAAGCCGAGCCACCTGCAGGTGCTCGGCCAGGGCCGAGCCACCTGTGGGTGGCTCGGCCAGGGCCGAGCCACCGTGTGGGTGGCTCGGCCAAAGCCGAGCCACCTGCAGGTGGCTCGGCCAAGGCCGAGCCACCTGTGGGTGGCTCGGCCAAGAGCCGAGCCACCCACAGGTGGCTAGGCTCAGAACTGTGCAAATGCACAGTTCTGAGTGCCTATAAATAGGCCAAGGCATTGTTCATTTCAGAGGTTGGATTTTGGGAGGGTCGAAGCTCTGCCGGATTGGAATCTGAGATCTAAAAAAGATTGGAGCTTTAGAAGATTGAAGACTTGGACTTTGAGATCCGGTTCTCGGCGATCATCCACGCCAAACAAGGCAAGTGTTCGAGAGGGACCGGATCTGAGATCTACACGATTTTCCTCCGGATCTAAGCTTGGTTCTTAGATCCCGAGAAGAGTCTCGAATTCGCTTGGTCGATTTCGACACTTGGGCTACTATTTCCTTGGTGAATTAGTACCCCACCCGGCTATTATTTCCTTCGTGAGATAATACCCGTCATATCGTGTAGATCCGACCGGATCGAGATCACGCGGTGGTCCACGGCAAATAACCCCGGCGCAGGCAAAGAACCCACACAAAGCGAGTGACCGCAAAACAGGAGCTCGCGATTCGTTCGACATAAAAGGAAATAAATTGTAATCTTTCTTTTTTGTATTTTGATTTTCATTGTAACCGGATCTTATAAAAAGACCGGATCTTTGTAACGCATAAAGTTGTTAACTAAGATGGCAATGATATCAATGAAGAAAGACACGATTTTTCCCGCGAACAAGTTTGTGGGGTGATAGAGCTATACTGAATGATAGACAAAGATTGTTCAACAGCCGTGTAGATAGGGGGAAGAGAAGAGGAAGTGAAGACAAAAGATAAGAGGAAGGCATTACGAGTCATATGAAAGAAACAACCAGAGTTAAAAAATTCAGAGATCATTTATACTACGCATACCAAAGAGTTGTGCAGTAGATGTAGATGCTCTATGCTGAAGAGCATCAATTTGATGGTGAATATCAGAGAGTTGTGCAGCAGATGGAGAGGTGGTATGCTGAAGAGCCGCAATTTGACGACTAATATTTGTAATAGCTTGAAGAGCCTCAATTTGACGGTGAATATCAGAGAGTTTTGCAGCAGATTGAGAGGTGATATGCTGAAGAGACGTAATTTGACGGCTAATATCTGTAATAGCTTGAATGGTAGGGTCTGAAATGGTAGATGACATAACATTGACTGGTAATTCTAGTGCACTAGAGGATCGGGACTGAGGGGATCGCTGACTACGGCCAGTTCTTGAGGAACGTAACTCAGGATGAAACTGGAAACATGTCTCAAAGCGGTATCCCTCCTTCTTGCAATAGGTACAAAAGAGCTTAGACCGAGGCTGAGAAGCAGATACCAGTGAAGAGGCCATAATAGCAGCAATTCAAAGTTTAAGATAATAATCATTGAATGAAACCGGCGACCAAGGTGGCCCGAAGATCGGCCGGATATGATGCTCACGCCGGAGCCCTACAATGGATTAATGTCGTTGTTGAGATGTTGAGACGTCGAGATGAATTGAGACGACGATGTTGTTAGTGACGGTAATGTCGTTTGTTAGAGGCCGAGAGACGGCTTGAAACAGCTCGTCGTTAATTTGAGACCGATAGACGGTCTTGAAAAACATCTATGTCGTAAATTTGAGATCAAGAGATGATCTTGAAACGATAATGCCGTTAAAATAGAACCCAAAGGTTTAAAATAGACCCAAAAGGTTAGAATGTAACCCAAAGGTTTAAAATATAACCCTGAAGATTAAAATGGAACCCGATGGTTAAACGAGAACGCGAAATACGTTAAGAGGCCGCAAAGCGGCAATGCCAAAAATTTGATAGACGAACGCAAAAATAACATTAAACGACTACAAAGCAGCAAGACCAAGATTTGGCAAAAAAACGCAGATGCGTTAAAAAAAATTTATTGGAAGGGAAATAATAACCCTAACTCTGGTACCATGTTAAAGTAAGAGAGAGATAGTCTTGGATAATTTTTTTTTAGTTGAATATTGAGTGTATACACATATATTTATACAAGTAGAGAAGGAGGAGGTGTGTTCTCACAACTAATATAGGACTAAAACTCACTACAATACACTATTATCAACAATATAATTTGTGTTACTCCTTGCTTCTTTATACGCACTTGCGTGCAAACGTACGCCTCGACTTAAGAGATTTCCTTTGATTCCAGCCTCTAGGTTCAAAGATAGAATCAGAAACCCAAGGCATAAAACTGAAGTATCCTTTCCGCTATGTACACAAAATCACTGGTTGTCAGAATTGAAATAGTTTTAGCTATTCCCTTTTACTGTGGAACTAAAGGGTGTTTCAGAAAACTGAAGGTATATCAGCCTGTAAAATTATTGTCCTTATATGGATTTGCCTATTAAGCAAGGATGTTGAGAGATCTAGTACTTTTAAGGCCCACATGATAGTAAATTTCCGCTAAACTCACTGTGGAGCTGTCAGTAATATCTCTTCGTATCACTGTCAACTTTGGAGTTTTGCTTCCTTTAGTCCCTTATTCCATTTAAGCCTTTTTGTCCCCTGTAGCTAGGAAAAGGGTACTGAAGACGCAAACAGACAACTCCCTTATGTACATTTGCTCCCCTTGAGTAGCAGTTGACTTTAATTGCCTCAATTTCACCGAAAAATGAAGAACAATTATGGTGTTTTTAATTACTAAATGATTACAGAAAAACCCGCCGTAGTTTTCCGTAATAAAACTACTATATATGTTATAGTTTTAGGCAAAAAGTTGAAATTTCATGGTTCCCGCCTATAGTAAAACCTTTCAGGATCGGCTAACCACTGTGCTTACCAACTACTGATAATTCATCTTTTTCAGTTTGTTTAATTTTCCACGCAAATCTTGTTATGCATGCATAATTGTTAGCCTTTATGCAGCCAAACTAAAGGGTCTAATTTAATTGTTGGTATGGTGTCCAGTCACTCACGGGCACCTACTTAAACATTGAGTACAACTGAAGTTTCATCGAAAAGGACATTAGAGGCCTTAATCTCTCTTAAAACATTAGCTGTTTCTTTTTAAGTCATATAATTAACCCCACTGTCCTCAGCTGTCAAGGTCATGTGTTACATTCACATCTGAGGAAGGAACAAAGAGACAGCTGATATTAATATAGATCTCACATTTCATCACTCTACGTAGTAAACTAAGCTAGAAACCTGAGCTAACTTGCAAACTAGCTCATGACTAAGGATCCCATGATTCCAGGTCCCTTTGTTACTCAACTTGTCATGTCTTTAGAAATTGCACATTGTGGAGTTTTAACTATCCCTGCTTCCTGTATTGCCTTTCTTTCTATTTATGATGGGATCCAATACTTGTGTCAATTGCCCTTGGTTGCGAGATCTCCAAGCAACAGACGTTGACAGTGGGCTTGAAGACTGTAGGGTGCTACTTGCAACGCAAATCTTGCTAGGGAACACCCTACGTGAGAGTGGGGTGCTCCATAACTGTAAATGAGTAGTTGAAATGTCCAAATTGTCCCCCCTCCTCTCCTCATGTTTGATTCAGATTGTCCCGCTTGCATGCACTAGTAGAAAAGCACGTATTCTAGACGGAATATTCTAGACGGAAATTTTTCCGTCTAGAATGTATTAAACTAGACGGAAAATTTCCGTCTAGAATATTCCGTCTAGAATAAACCATTCTAGACGGAAATTTCCGTCTAGAATAGTATACTAGACGGTTATTTTATTTTTATTATTTTTTTTTAAATTTCCACGTATCCTAGACGGAAATTTAAAAAAAAAAATTCCGTCTAGCACACATTGAAATTTAAAAAAAAAATTTAAAGCCTCAAAACCCCAGCCGCCCTTCTTTTCCCCCTCCCCCAAATCGAAATTTTCAGCGCCTCCCCACCCCCAAAAACGATCCCGTCACCAGCTCTCCGGCCTCCGCTGCCCTTCCCTCTCAAAATCCGCGTCGTCGTCGTCGTCGGCCATGGCGAGCTGCGGCTATCACTCTCCTCAGTTCTCAGAGGTCAGGTTTCTCCATTACTCCAAATTACCAAACTGCCATCGGCCGAATACTTCCATTTTTCTTTGATTTTGGTCCTATATCCAAATGGGTATTCTGTTTGAGGCTTTCAGAGAATTAATTCATGTAGATTGAAGGGTAAATTTGCTTTGTATTGGGAGCTTCTGTCTCGGTCTCTTATTCACAAATAGGTACAAATTTGCATCAATTTTAGTGATTTTCCCCGTTGCAATCCTAAGAATTAGTTATTTTCATATGGGTCTTGTTTATTTTGGTGTTTCGAGTCCTTATTTAAGCTGGGTATTGCTTGAATTTGAGGACCGTGGTGGTTCTGCTTACCTTTCCTGCTTTAGAATTAGTATTTGATTATGATTGTATTTGGTTTGTTTCCCTTTCGATCTAGGTAGTTATTTAATTTTAAGATTATGTTTAGGTTTATTTATTAATTTCTCATTCCTTTTCCAATTTGGTAGAAAGGTAAGATCCGAAGTAAATGTGGATCTTGATTGAAAACCTTTGTATTTGTCGGGACTTGGATTATAGATCTAGTAATGGTCTATTTAGCTGAAGATGAGCCTATTCCAAAATTGGCCAGTAATTAATTAGTGATTCGTCAGCCATGAAAATGATCGTCAGGGACAAACCTCCGTTCTTAGGACGGTAATTAATTGTTTAACCTTTAGCTAATGCTAGTATTAAGCCCGCAAGAACATTATTTATGGGGAAATACTCAGCACACCGCTAGCAGTAAGTTTAAGGAACGAACAAAGTGGACTTCTGGAACATGCTATAAATATCTACAAGTGTTGTAGCCCAACATAACTTCTCATTGATGGAAGTTCTATCTTCTCTCATTTAATAATTGTAATTGTGCCTTCTCCTGGAATAGAAACATCATTCGCAGATGGTTGCAGATTCTTTTTTCTTTTAGGATGATTTGAAATATTTTCTTATTTTCATCTTTATTAATGATTCGATCTCCTTTGGAATAAAAAGTAAAAGCACCATTAATTTGTTGGTAACCAGTAATGTATGTATTTCTTACATGATTCTGAAAATTGGTAGCAGAATGTGGACAATGCCTGAAGCAAAAGATATCATCAGGACAACTGGGACTGGAGAAAATAAGATGAAGCTTGTTTCTAGCGATTGCAATTCACGAATTGTGAGAATCTCGGATTTCTTAACATTTTTATTGGTTCAAAATTTTTAATTCTTCAATATGGATTTGCTTCCTCAGCTACATATTGGTATCAAAATAGCTCATAAGTTGAACATTTATTTTTGGTCTCTCCTATTGCCAGATGACTGAAATGCAAGAGCCTAAGAGCATCATAGGAAAAGCTCCCAAGACCCATACTACTATACAGTAAGTACAGTTTCATTATCTATAGAGGAAATTCTCATTTGTGCATGCTAGGTAGCAATAAAGTTCGAGCATAGAAGCAGTAAAGGCTGAAATTATGGACCACCTTATGAGTGGCAAGTATACAAGTAAGCATTCTTATGCTTGTTTCCTGAATTATGGTTGGTAGCCTAATAACAGAACTTATGTGATGTACATTCATTTATGCAATACCCTTGGCTTTTCTTCATGGGGTACCTCGTGTTTATTACAAGGGTCGCCAAGGGGACTATTATGTCATGGTAACTGATAATAAATGACCTAGTTATGGATTTCTTTCGTATTATGTTTATATATATGTTGCTATGATCACCCCGTTATTTGTATAGGTGATGGATATGTTGGGACCCAGTCTATGGGATGTTTGGAATAATAACTCCTATGCGTGAGTATTTGAACCTCTTTTGTGAATTTCTTAAGTTGCTGTTTGTGTAAGTATGTAATCTTGACTGTTTCTCTTTGCAGAATGTCAACAGAAATGGTTCATTGTATTGCTATTGAAGCAATCTCTATTTTAGAGAAGATGCATTCTAAAGGGTAGGCCTGCTCTTTACGCTATGAAGATACAGAATCTCAATTTATGTAAAAGTTTGTAAACAATTTATGTATCTCTCTACTATTTTGGTGAATGTATTATTTGAATATAATGTGATTTAATATTGAAATATAATTAGTTTGTGTTGGATATGAAAATATAATTTTTTATTGTTCAATATTGTTATGCATGCACCTAAAGTAGATTTTGCAAAAAAAAAAAAAAAAAAACTACTGTAGCATATTATCCTAGACGGAAATTCCGTCTAGGATGCCCGTCTAGGATGTTCTTTTAAAAATAAAAAAAATAAAAAATTCAATTTCCGTCTAGGATACATTATTCTAGACGGAAATTCCGTCTAGAATAATCCGTCTAGGATGTATTCTAGACGGTTTTGAATTCCGTCTAGAATATTCCGTCTAGAATGTATTCTAGACGGAATTTCCGTCTAGAATACTTTATTCTAGACGGAAACTTCCTAGACGCCTATTCTAGACGGAATTCCGTCTAGAATACACATTCTAGACGGAATTCTAAGTATCCTAGACGGAATTTTCCGTCTAGGATACCTTATTTTTTAGCAGTGATGCAGGGTGTTCTGATAAGGGTTGTGTGCTCCGGTAAGAGTTGTACTATGCTATTTACACCTCATTAATCTTATCTCAGATTGAACGCTCTGATAAGAGTTGTACTTTGCTATTTGCACCTTATTAATCTTATCTCAAATCGAATGATAAGTTGAAAAACTGACGTATCTACTGATCTAATGGTTTTTTTAGTTCATAATATATATTAGAGTGGTTTAAAAGCAAGTCTTAAAACAATGATTGGTGTTAACGTGAGTGATATGTCCTTTATGCTTAGATTGTTTCTATGCTATGGTTATATGATGGCTCCACCTTTTCTTTGCTGAAATAATGGTGGCCTCTTGGAGACTACATCAAGTGGAATTTTTATGTAGGTCCACAAAGAAAGTAGAAGTTGATCTATACAGTTTGTTGGTATCTGAGGCTCATCTATCAGTAGACTGATACTGATCATGGTCATCATTTATCACAATTTGAAATGTACCATTTCTTTTTATCTGTACTACTTCATTTGTAGCAGTGAAGAAACTACCATCTTTGTGAGCCCTTTAAAGATTTCCATCTTATTAGAATCAATAAAACCTGTATATGACCTAGAATTTAATCATATAAGCTAGATGAATGACCACCAAAGGGTAAATCTCACAACTCTACTATGAACTTTGGAAGTTTTTCATAAAATGCCATGAACTTCTGTTAGAGAAAACTATCTTAAACTTGAAGAAGTAAGAACTGGAGATATATTCTTGAACCATTGAAAATGTTGTTGTGCGCAGCGGAAATTTCGGCAGCACCTCCGGTGCGCAAGGTGCACAACAAGAGATTAGATCACAATGGAATTCTTGTTTCTCAAAGGGAACAAGAACCAAAAGCCAGATATCTCATCAAAGTGAGATATCAGCTCTTCCTCTCGTCAGCTCTAGGACTGCGCGTCGAGGGATCCTACAAGCTATTACAAATCACAGCAAGAACACAACTTTTACGTGGTTCGGCAAATAGCCTACGTCCACGGGGCAAGTAGGGGGAGATCTACTATTAGAGGGAGAGATACAACTAGGGTTTACAATCTCACAATCTAAACCCTCTCAAACAAACTCTCAAATCCTTCTTACAAATATTCTCTCAAAGGGATGCTCAAAATCTTCTTTAAACAGTCGGCTCTCACTTTTCCCCGCAGCTCCCGCTGCTATTTTCTCAAGCCGCCGCTCTTCAAGACTCTGTGCTCCTCTGCCTTCGTTTTGTAGCCGAAAAGAAATCCCCAGCCACCGCACAAAACAAAAAACCCCTTTCACGCAACCCTAGGAAGACTTCACATTATCATTTATATAAGGGTGAATCGGGTGGGCTTTCTTTTGCCTGCTAGTCACACGCAATGAAGCCAAGCGCTGTCTTTTGTCCGCTGGCTTTTGCTTTGCTCTTCACACATGTGGTGCCCGTGGCCCCCACATCACAATTCTCCACCTCGGCGAAGTTTCTCAAAACTGAGCCGACACCAAAGCATCCAAATGTCCCAACTTGTTCGACAACAAGTCGGGAACCCGAACGAGAGTCCAAACAATCTCACCCCATCAAAATCAACTCACCAAACCGGCTGTATCATAAAGACTGCCTACGTATCCTCTTGCCCAAGGAATCAAGCCGTCCATAGTTCATCCAATGGCCTCGAAAGGCCTCAACACTGAAGAATGTTCAAAAGTTCTAAACAATGACCAAACTTGACACCTGAAACAACTTTGGTCAACATATCCGTAGGGTTGTCCTTCGTGTGGACCTTCTCCAATATGACGTCTCCTTCATCCAAAACGTCACGAACAAAATGGAATCTGACATCGATATGCTTCGTGTGTGCATGATAAACCTGGTTCTTCGCCAAATAGATAGCTGACATGCTATCACAATATACCCGAAGGGTCTCCTGTGCAATCCCCAAGTTCTCCAATAATCCCTGCAACCACAAAGCCTCCTTCACAGCTTCAGTCAACGCCATATACTCTGCCTCCGTAGTGGAGAGAGCCACTGTAGACTGAAGTGTGCATCTCCAACACACTGGTGCTCCTGCTAGTGTAAAGACATATCCGCTAGTAGACCGGCGTTTGTCCAGATCCCCCGCATAATCAGAATCCACGTAACCAATACAATCCTGCCCTGTCTTCTCATTCTTCTGAAATACCAAACCAACATCCACGGTACCTTTGATATACCGTAGAATCCACTTCACGGCCTCCCAATGACCCTTCCCGGGGTCGTGCATGTACCTGGATACCATGCTCACGGCCTGTGACAAATCTGGCATTGTACACACCATCGCATACATCAAGCTACCCACAGCATTGGCATATGGAACTTTGGACATGTATTCCCGATCCTCAACTGAAACAGGTGACATCTTAGCTGATAGCTTAAAGTGGGGAGCTAATGGAGTACTCACCGCTTTGGCATTGCCATCATAACTGAATTTCTTCAGCATCTTCTGCAAGTAACTCCTCTGTGTCAACTTCAACATCCCCTTCACCCTGTCTCTCTCAATCTCCATACCCAATATCTTCTTTGCTTCTCCAAGATCCTTCATCTCAAATTCGGATGACAGCTCCTTTTTTAACTTTCGAATAGCCGAAGAATTCCTGAAAGCAATAAGGTAGATCTCCTCTTCTAAATCTCCATGTAGAAAGGCTGTTTTCACATCCATCTGGACCAAATCCAAATCCAACTGTGCCACCAATGCCAATAAAATCCGAATCGACGAATGCTTCACAACGGGTGAAAATACCTCGTTGTAATCAATGCCCTCAAGCTGTGCATATCCCTTGGCAACTAATCTGGCTTTGAACCGAATGTCCCCAATAGAGGATCCCTCCTTCTTCGCATATACCCACTTGCAACCAATAGCTTTCTTACCCTTAGGTAGATGTGCAAGTGTCCAAGTGTCGTTCTTCTGAAGAGACCGCATCTCCTCCTCCATAGCTTCCCTCCACCTGATCGAATCGGGGCTAGACTCTGCCTCCCTGAATGTGGCTGGAACCATATCATCAACGACCTCCACTGATAATGCATATGCGACCATGACATCATTATACCTAGCTGGCCGACGAATCTCTCTCCTCGGTCTATCTGCTGCAATGGTCCTCTGAACATGACACTGTTCTTGAGTCCCATGATCTACTGTATCCTGTATCTGCCCATCTGTCATCTCATCTCCTCCCAGTGTCACCTCTGTAGGAGCCTCAATGGATACAATGTTATCTGGAGTTGGTGGAGTCACATCATCCTCCACCTGCTGTGATATCCCAACTGTCTGGTCTTCCTCCACCTGCTGAGGAACTTGAGGCTTCATCATGTACGCCTCGTCAAATGTGACATCCCTGCTAATAACTATCTTCTTGTCTTGTGGATCCCATAACTTGAAGCCTTTAACTCCATCTCTAAATCCCACAAAGACTGCTTTCCTCGCCCTCGGATTCAATTTACCATCACTGACATGGTAATAAGCTGGACACCCAAATATCCGAAGCGACTCATAGTCACTAGCTACCGAACCAGACCAACGCTCCAACGGAGTCTTCCCCTGTATCGCAGTGCACGGCAACCTATTCACGAGATGGCTCGCATAAACCAACGCTTCGGCCCAAAAGGATCTTGACAATCCACTCTGTGTCATCATACATCGCACCTTCTCCAGCAAGGTACGGTTCAACCTTTCAGCCACCCCGTTCTGTTGCGGTGTCTCACGTACTGTGAAGTGTCGCCTAATGCCGTGATCCCGGCAAAACTGCAGAAACGGATCACTCTTATACTCTCCACCGTTATCTGAACGTAGAGTCTTCACCTTTCTACCTGTCTGCAGCTCCACTTTCTTCTTCCACTCCACAAAAATATCCAGGACCTGATGTTTATGCTTCATCGGGTATACCCAATTCCTCCTGGAATAGTCATCAATGAAAGTGACAAAATAGTTGGCTCCACCAAGTGATGTGTGCTTGGAAGGACCCCAAACATCTGTGTGAATATAGTCCAATATACCTCTTGGAAGGACCCCAAACATCTGTGTGAATATAGTCCAATATACCTTGGGTATTATGAATAGCGGTGCCGAATTTCACTCTTGTCTTCTTCCCAAGTATGCAATGTTCACACAGCTCCATCTTGCAGGTCTTCGCACCCTTCAATAGCCCCTGCTTCGCCAATACCTGCAGGGACTTATCACCAGTGTGTCCCAATCTCATGTGCCATAATCTGGTAGTATCTTCCTCTGTGGTAATCGAAGCTGCCAAACCCCCTGTTACTGTCTTGCCCTTCAAGTAGTAAATGTTAGATCACCTTATAGCCAGCTGCCTCCAAAGTTCCAAGCGAAATGATATTCTTCGTCAATTGAGGAACGAATCTCACTTCCTTCAGCTCCCGAGTCACCCCGTCACACATTCGGATCCGTACTGTACCAATACCATCAATAGGGCATGCGTGATCATTACCCATGAGTACAACATCTCCTCTTTCCAACTCCTCAAAGCTGGAGAACCAATCCCTCCTAGGGCAAATATGG